ACTAAGTGAAAGGAGTAATGAAATATGCTATGCTCAAATGGGTTGAAGAAATCAAATCCATATTTTCAATGACACAATGCCTTGTAGCTAAGAATTAGAAGAAAATCCAAACTCCAACAATCATTGTTCCAAATGATTCGACATCTTAGAAAAAGGAAAGCACAAAATCAATCATGTCCATGCAATTATATGCATAAAAATGACAAGTTCAATGCTTGTTTCATCCTGAACATTCATACAATTACATGCTTTAAAAAAGTTCATTATTTTTCACGCTCAAACTTCTTTTTTTTATATGTTCATCAATTTTAAGATTTACACAGAGAGAGATTAGCATTCTTGTTCAAGTATACCCAACTTAAGTATAAATATATATATATATATATTAAAAAAAAAAGGCTACCCAACATTGTATCTTATACATGTGCAATAAGTGTAAGAGAATCAGAATATTCAATACACGTTTAACATGGACATGTTAGTACGTTACCTACAGTGTTCGTGCTCATAGGTCAAGGCCATTGGTTAGAAGTATAAGGCTCTTTTAGTAAGTTCATCAGTGAGTTCTCTTTCTACCAAACCAATTTTACATGAATAATCTCTTTTTTGATACGAACATGAATAATCGCTTTGAAAGCTATTTTTTAGAACATAATAAATTTCTCTCATATCAACAAGTTTAATAGAATAATCTCTCCAGAAGATATAAATCTTATACTTCAATTTGCATTAGAAAGTCTTCTGCCACTAAGAATTTGTCAAAATCTTCTATCAATCCAGACACAATTTTAATCATTTCTATTTTCAGCACAAAGACTAAAGTATATGATGATAATATAAACAAACATTCAAATATTTGTCTCCTTAGAATTCAAGGACACAAAAGTACAACCTATAGAACATATCCTCTTCAATTAAGGTCGTCATTAACCAACAGCCAAATATTAAACTATTAAAGAGACAGTTGCATCGCAATTTCTGTCTCATCAGTAAAAATCAATCACAAAAAGAAATTATCAATTTTAAGAAAATGCATTTAGATAGGAAACCAGAATACAACGTACCTCTGGGGATGAAACAATTGAAAGCAACTGTGGGAACAAAGCAGGTACTAGTCTTGGAATCATTTCACAGTCCAATTCCCCAGAGAGTAGAGCCAAACACCTTAGACCTCCATGCACTACAAAATTTTATGTGAAGCAGAGATTTATTCAATTAATACTACATGAGAAAGACATCACATTGTAGATATATCAAAAGATCCAATACCAATTCAAATAAAAAATCAATCAGTCTTTGACGATCGGATTGTTAGCCTTGTAGTACTTTTGATAGAAACAGGACTTTCATGAAGAGAGATGAGAGTACAAATGAAAGCAGCTAAAAGTGAAAACAGCCAAAGGATGCAACCACATGTAAACATACCAAAAAAACTGTTAAAAGTAAACACCCACGTCCACAACCAAGAAGAAACATTTTAAACTGATGAAACTTCAAAGTATAGAATTTACAAAAAGGACTACAAATAGAATGCCAATGCATATGTCAGAGAAAATTAGGAAGCTACGAAAAAATTAAACAATTTAATTGAGACATAATTGTTTAATTTGGTAATAATGCATTTTCAGCACTTACTTCTACCTATATAAATGTGAATAACATTAAATATTAAAATCATTCACCTGTTCAAGAAGCAAAGTAGAACAAAAATTAATATTGGGTAAATATCAAACAAACCTAGTGACGAGAATATTAAACCAACCTAACCCATTAGTTGAGAAGTCCATCAATACACTTTTTTTTTTTTACAAGAAACAACTTTTCGTTGAAAGGTGAAAAGGAAAAAAATGTCCAAGGAAACAACCTCCAAAAGGAGAAAAATTTTATTAAAAAAAAAACCAATGACCAACCAAAGTGAGCAGTCCAAAACAATAGCCCCCAAAATAAATTAAGACAGGCCAAATTACCAACAAACTAACCAAGAAAACAAAAACAGGAGCCAAAAAAGGAACTCCTACCAAGAAACCAGAACCAATATATATAATTACCAGCAAGCAAAAATTCACTTATTTTTATTATTTCCCTCTTTCCCATATCAACTAAAGAAATGAGTGAAAAAAGTCAAGTTCTCTACAAAAGAAGTGGCGCATTCTCTTCCTCAGGACCCAAACCAAAGATGAGCTTTCACAAGTGTGCTAAGCAAAACCAAAGTATTGCCTTAAGCCATTTATTCTCAAAGATTGCCAATGTCATACAAGACATCAACAACAGGGAAGAAAAACCTTTCTTTCCCTAGTTTAAATACCAAAACACAACATGGGCGGCAACCTTCTCTATGCTTAAAAAAATAGAAATATTCCTAAAATTATAATCCAAAAAGTGTTAAAGTTGGTTCTTATAAATTGTCGTCACACTCACAAACCACCAAATATTGCTCAAATAGCTCAATTAAACCAATTCAAAAATTAAAAATAAATAAATACATAAATATAAATCCAAAAGAAAGTAAAAATAAATAAATAAATAAGAGAGATTGTAGTGGCAAATAAATATTAGCGATAGAACATCATACCACCATTCATATTAACTCGATTACTCATCAAATTTAAGAGGTAGGGCAACAGATCAGGCCATTCCTCTGGCCAATCATACACTGCGATTGATGTCACAGCCATACTAATTGCTGTACAGATTTTCCTATGAGAATCGTCCAACGTTATTAAAAGAAGCTTGCGAATTATTGCCTGAAAAACAAAGCAGTGACTTAGAGATGTACAATTTTAACATTGAAATTTGAAAAGGACATACCCAAATAGTAGCGTTAGATGAGGCCAGACAAATAAGAATTGCAGATGCGGAATAACTATAAATGACACCATTCAGCATAAAATAGATACCTTCTCATCATCAGAAACAGCGGGATGCTCAAATAATTCCTCACCCTGCTGCCAGTGCTTTTTGATGAACTGCTTTAGAAGGACTGCAGCTAGGTAAATGCGTTAAAGTCTCACTCGGGAATAATTTTCAATCGTATGTTTCGCGTCAGAAACAACCACCAGAAACAATGTAAAAAAGAAAGCTTAAACGCCAGTAAACATATATAATCACACACACACACACAAAAAAATGAAGAATCTCAACGCCAATGACAAAAAAGGATATCTGGCGCAATCCTACTGGAAGCTCCCTGTTGGCAGAGATTTTGGATAATGCAACCCCAAACCCTTTAAGATGAGGAAATAATCAAAATCAAGTCCAAGTAGTAGAACAAGTTAATCAGGGAGTAAAGATTAAACAAAAAGAACCTAATCCCTTCCTGATATCTCCTATAGTGTAGAAACGTAATTATAATATGATATATATCCTGCCTAAAACGATCACAGAGTCGCGCCAGGGGCGGAAATGCCATTCATCAACTGTACGGATACTCGGTAGTATAGAGAATCAACGGGAAGAACAGTGAGCTGATAATTAGAGTGAAGGGAAGAACCTGGTTGGAGAGATGCCTGATTTAGCGAGGCTTCTGCGTATGAGCGAACCTCGTGGTTGGGGTCGAGAGTGGCTGACAAGCAATTGAGAAGCCATTGTTGATCCTGATCAATGACATTCGCCATCCTCAAGCGCCGAGCAAAGGGTTCGCAGTTTGTTCCGCCGTTTCTGAGTTCACTCTGGTCTGGCTCTGCGACTGCCGCAGTGCTTACTCGCTTTTCCAAGTGTGGAGGCCGGAGGGGCAGGCTGTAAAAAGCGCGCGTAGGATCGACTCACTCATGGCCAGGCGGGTTCGGTTTCGGGTTCGGGTTCGGGCAGCAAAAATGAAAATGGAGTTCACATATTTTGTAAGAAAACTAGGGTTTTCGCTTTAAACTCCTATCCGGTTGAACTGTGGTTTTTTAAAAAATTACATTCGTTTTAGAAAAAACACTCTCTAAAATTTTACCGTGTTTATCTCTTAGGGATGTAGCCACTATAATTTAAATTTATCACCTAAAGTTTTTTTCTATTTATATTGGTTTGAACTTTGATGTTTTGGATTGACATTTTTGTTCTTCAATATGAGAGTAATATTTTCTAAGTTACATATTTGTATTTAAAAACATAAAAAAGAACGATACACATGCTATTTATCAAAAAGAGAGAGAGAGATGTACTTTTATATCCCAAGTTCTTATTATATTTGATCATAATGCTTTTACTATACTTTTGATTGAAATATAATAACAATAATAACTCCATAGGATTTTGTCTTTCTGGTGTTTCTTTTCAAATTTATTTGCGAAATAATACTTATTTGATACATATTAAATGTATAATGCTCGAAACTTGTTTAAAATATAATGTTTTAAAATTGTTCCGTCAAAAGGCGACTACCACTTTGGTCGTAGTCAGTTTAAACACATAAATCCAGTCCACTTACAATAGTCATGTTGATCAAAATGCAAAAGTTTCATGACTTGACCAGTAACTCGGTTTCCTAGTAGAAGATCATCTCACTATGTGGTCGACATTTCATTCCCCTTAGTTGTAGGTGCTCATTCGATTTTGATTTGAATGGGTCGGGTCTCCCGAGGTGAGGTACATATGGCCAGCCCTTCGGGTGTCTCGGTGATACAAACAAAGAAAWGACGAATTCCAATCACATCCCCTATCATAGCAAGCCAATCTGAGGAAATAGAATAGAATAATCTACTAGATTTTTCTTCCTGTTGATTCCACCCCATAATCAAGTTGCACTTCCTTCGCATTTTGTTGTCTCTTCAAAAGACAACTATAAGACAGACGCTTTGTTGGTACCACATCTAATTTTATTATCATTTTTTTAAAATCAATATATAGTCATCTCATGAATACCATCTAGACACACATTTGTGTTCATCTCTTCCAACGACGACATATATTGTTGACTTTTGTTAAGAAGAGAAACTAAAATATTACTTATACAGTTATACAATATATTACATAAATGGCGTAATATTTCAAGGTCAGATATTTGCGGGAAAAAAAAAATATATATATAGTACTTCATGGAAATGCTTCACATATTTGGATTTCTCCGTAACAAATACAATATTAAACGGGAAAAATGGAAGTCAGAAGTAAACAGTAAATAGACGAATCAGGGAAAGCTGCACACATCTGCAGGCTACGAGCGAGCCTATTATTCATATAAGGCTCAAAACATAGACAATCGATGATACAACACCGGCCCATTAACTAAAACACAACCAAGGCCCAAATATTAAGTCTTATAACATTCATCAGACCAACTTCCGTTCCACGTGTTCTCTCACTCCCATTTGGTTCTAATTTGACGTGTGCGCCTAAATTCCCGTTCTCTTTAGCACAAATCTCTCAACCAACACATAACACCCAATTCTGCTCCACTCTACCACCCCTTCATACTCCGCCCTTCTCTTTACC